CGTCAACAGTTTGTTGCGCGAAAATTTGGTGCCCAAGTTTATGTTGACCATTGCCTGTGACGCTAGGTAGCATAAAAGAAAAAGGAAGCTGATTGAGCTGAGGATGATATGTTGGCGGCACCTGTAAATCGACAAAAAATGTTTTTAAAACAACAGCTACAATATCAAAGTAACTTTAATTCAAAAATATCTAATTTGTTATCTCACTTGGAATAATGATGAGAGGTGGTTAGGCTGAGGGAGAGTAAAAGCAGCAGTTGGAATATTCGATGGAGGACCGCTAAAACCAGGAGGGGGTGCAACTGTAGAACTTGTTACAGAAGTATCAGCCCTTTGTTGCTGTTGTTGATTACTGAGCAACCCAGAGCCAGTGCCACCTGCGGCTGAGCTGATCGTAACTCCGGCCGTTGCATATGCCTGAAAGTTTCCAAACAAAATCGAAGTCTTAATTTGGAAATGAAAAGTAAAATCAAATTTTTTAAAGGCCTTAAAATTAAGTTATTAATCTTTCAAAACCTGAAGTCAAATCCAGTCTTAAAACCAAAAATTAATTAGCAAATCGACCTTCAAGTCAACATAATTGCCATGTTGGTCCGGTCTCTGTTGGTGTTGGCTTTGCTGAACCGGTGGCGGCGGTTGGTTAGGTTGCTGCTGAGGAGCTATTGGAGGGAGCATAGTTGAAAGAGAGCTCATATCGATCTGTCCCATACTAGCTAAAAGAAGCTTCCATAACTGTTAAAAAGCAAATATTTTTTGATATTCTACTATCTAGAAAGTTAATTGAGATACTGAACCTAATAAGCGCAAAAAATCACCAAATGGGTATTGGACGAGAGTAGCGTATGGTGCCTCATCTTGCCTCACTCCTGTTACGGGACTATACATATTCATGTAAGGATAACTGCTATATGAAAACTGAGTTGTCGTAAACAATGGATGTTGTGCCTGTTAAAAACAAATAATCACGTTTTAAATACAATTGTGAGATGACACTCAAGACGAATTAAAAGTCCTGCTGTACCTGCTGTTGATGCAGCGAAGGTTGTGGTTTCGCAACCGAAGTGCGACTTTCAGGAGAAGGATAAGACATGCTAGACGTATCAGCCAAAGAAAGGCCTGAAGTCGCTGGCTGCCTTTGTAGGCCTGATGATGCATGAACAGCAGTTGAAGATGAAGTAATCCCTACGCCGCCACTGTTTCCCGCTACCTAAAATTATCATTTGACAAATGATTACAGAAAATGAGGTCTTGAAGGAAGCGGTGACTTTTTCCTATACCTTAGCTTGTTGTTGGGCAGAAATGGTAGATGCAAGCTCATTGCTACCACCATTGGTAAGCACTACAGAAGCAGAATCCCCAGCCATCAAATCCGACTAAAAAGAATCAACTAAATAACAGCGGATTAGACTCTCTGAATCCGTCTTACCAACACCCTTTCCATGAACACCACTGTGGCATCGACTCGAAAATATTTATTTTTGAAATCACAACTACAACAGACCGCGCACACTGCGTATGTTAAGAACTATGTTACTGTCGCTAGCTATTATTCAAAATATGTTTGCGAATAGAAACAGGAAATATTGGTACTAGCAAAACAATTAATGAGCTCACAAACCTCATTTTTGGCCCGAGATTTCGACGAGACAAAAGACTCTTCACTATTTTCTTCGTTACTGGGATTCGTATCAACATGAAAGCCAAACTGGTACTCGGGAAGAGCAGAAGAATCATTTGGCTCACCAGAGACAAATTCAACTGAGTAGGACGTTTGATGCGTATTCCCAGACTGAGCTGCCTTTTGCTGCGGCGTTTGAGCAAGTTTAGTTTGGACTATCGGTTTTGCCAAAGACGCCGTAGGTTTTGGAACTGCTTTTGAACCAATACCGAGATCATTCTTCAGTTGGGTTGTCCAATCAGTAGAAGAACCTCCACCTGCACTTACCGAAGATACTGAAGCAATTGGTTGTGACGTTCGTATGCTTGAATTCCTTGCAGATGAAAGCGATGCACTTGCTGTACTTTGAAGGTTCTCTCGACTTTCCTCTTTCCGATTTGATTCGCTCGTTGAACTTGCCGGAGCAGCTATTAACTGCCCACTAGTCGATACAACATCATTACTGAAAAATTTGGATTGGATCACTCACACCTGTAATCAAGCTGGGGTTGAAGCCTGGCTAAAAGGCTTGTTCAATAATTTAAAAATCAAAGGTGTCTAAATACAAACAGAAATGAACCAAAACTTTCGAATGATCACACCCAAGAACTAAAAATAACCAAATGAAGTAAACAAACTTTTGATAAATTGAGCTATATGAATCCATCGCAGATTGACTAACGCCATTCACTTGCGGCGGCGAAGAAGCTCCTGAAGTTACCGGTGCTGCAGTTCCAGTTGAAGTAGACATTTTTATTTGAGCATTTCCAGAATTATTAGAACTTTCTTTTGCCTTAATAGCACCTGCAGCTGCCACTGCAGCAAACGAGATAGGTGCCGAAACAGTGGAATTTGATAACGAAGCTACACCTGACGGCGCAGAAGTTGGAATAACCACCGGTGGTGGCAGATCCTCTCTACGAGAAAATACCAACGTCCCCGCTGATTCCTGTTAAAAAAAATAGAACAAATAAAAGACTCAAAAAGTGACCAAAACCACAATTTAAAAAAAAAACAGGAGTACCATTTGAAACTCCAATACGTTCAAACCAACCTGCCATTTCTTTAGGATAAACAAAAAGATCCAACATGACAATTCATTATAGTAATAAAGTGAAAAAAAAAAAACATTTACTCACACAACTGGAACAATTTCTTTTCATCCTCATATTCAGTAAATAACCCTCAAATAGGAGTATTGGCAGGAATGTCTAATCCAAAAGATGAAAAAAATTTATAAAAATACCCAGTCGGTTTCCTCCGGTGTATCATCCATCAACTGTACAGTAGCATTTGTCCACTCCTTCGCTGATGCTGTTTTCGCCTGAGAGTTGTCCCAAACATTATTTGATCCACTTAACCCTCCATTAGTCCTACCAACAGATGTCTGGTGCCCACCCCGAGCGACATAACCACCACGACTGCCCCTGGTACTTCCTCTATAGCCACCTCTTCCTCGTTCTGAACCTCTGCCTCTCCCTGAACCTATACACATCAAAAAAAATCAAACGAATAAAATTAGTGGTCAATAAAAGTGAAGAGGCAAACACTTCATTGATTAATAACAACAAAAAACTTTCTTTTTGTTAAAATTCATGGTGACGTAAGAGTAAACCAATGAAAAAACTAATCCTGTTTTATAGAATGACCAGTACAGACAAGAAACACAAAATAAAAAGCATACTGTTTACACCACGGCTAGGATGTGTACGTGTATTCCTCGGATTTGACGAAAAATCATCATTCTTTTCTTCAGCATCCTGCCTTTTCGACTTCCGACTTTTCTGTTCCTTCCAAACATTTGCATCTGTGTAAGTATCCTCCAAAATAGCATTCACTGCTTCTTCGACATTGTTATCTGCATCAAAAAGTGCAATTTCTGCTTGGGCAACTGTGCATCGAGTTGTTTCCACGACCTACAATCATGAAACTTACAGTTACATTAAACGAACACATATTTTAGTGAACAAGCGGTACTTTTTTGATAAGCTTCTGTATGTTAACTCGATCATCCTCCAAAAAATTTGCATCCTGGGTTAATCTTGCAATGCGCAATTGATCTTGTGTAGCTCGTAGTTTCTGCTCGCCTTGCTCTCCTTTTCCTCCCATTTCCTGAAAATAACTATGAAAAAAACAGATTAACACGGTAAAAGTGGTAGTCACTCCGGCATGTACCGTCAAATTACCTCAATGATAAAAGTTTGAAACTTTATCGAGGCTTCAAACACCTCTGGAGGAAGTAACTGTAAGTCTTGAAGATATATAAATAAATATTAAAAAGAGACAATAACAACGACATATTCGTAATATGAGCAAAACCAACACCTATATAGCAAAAATTTACGACTAATTGCTTAAAATCTAGAATGATCAAGGATCACATCTCAACAAACTTTAATATTTTCAAAGAGAAATAAATTACAATGATTTATATGAACCAACTGCTTATTCGAACTGTGCGATCCAAAACCAAGCATCAAAAACGCCTAAATCTGGCTTCTCACTACTTTTTCTCCTCAAACTAAAGCAGCGTAGTGAAAATAAGAGATAAGCATAATCAGAAAGAAAAGGTAAAACAAAACAAATAAACTTGTAAAGAGAAAGCAACAGATATTAGCCGGCTCACAATTTGGTTAATTACTAGATCCCCATTTTACAAAAATACTTCACAATGATGATGCAAATGTTTGGCTTAACGCAGCATCACAGTACAGAGTACCCCTGGAGTGAAACAACCTAGGTAAGAAAGAATAAAACAGTACAGTACGTTACGGTACTAACTGAGGCAGTAACAACAACAGAAATTTTATAGAACAAATATGAAGAGGTAATGTAGAATTTATTAAAATAATTATTAAGCAACTTCAACAAACCACCTCAAATTCATTACTCCACAACAGTGGCTTTGCCAGTCTGGAGGCACAATGTGTCTGTGTGCTTGTCTGTGTGTATGAATGTGTGTTTGTGTGTGGGTAAGTCTGTGTGTTAGTGAGTGTGTATGTGTGTATATGTGTGTGATACAGAACTTTCGGAAGGAGGTTAATAGTTTGCTTCGCAAAAGGATCGCGCGCCAACTTGGCCGGATATCAAAACTGCTGCTGTAGCAGCAAGTAGGATTGAGGATTATTTGCTATATTAAGGCAATAAACAGGAAATAATGAGATGTTCTGGGGTAGAAAATTTAGCGAGTTTTTTAGTCCAAAAAAAAAAAAAAAAATTCATCACATTTAAAAATATTTACAGTTGTTATCAAATTAACAAATAGTTTGTATTCAATGAATACAACAATGAAAAAGACAATAAACACAGCAAAAAATAACAACAACAACGAAAACTAAATACAAAAACAAAAGCACTGGAAACGAATCGAAAAGTCACAAACTAAAAAATGCATTCGGGACATGCACTATTGTTTAATCTTCGTAGAAAAAAAGAAACGGACGAAGAAAAAAGCCGTCTCGAACGTATAATTTTGTGGCAAAACGTTACAAGAATCTGGACGTTAATTGCAGCACAAAATTTTTTGGGTTAATTACGACACCGAACAGTAGACATCAGAAATTTCGCACAACCTAATGCTTTATGTATAGATGTAAGTGAATTTTTTAAATATGAGCATATATTTAAAAAATGTAAGAAAATAAATATTCTTGTTTACTAAAAAGTTTCCTTCCCCCTCTGATTTTACCCCTGCCCCCTCCGCGGAGAGAGACTCCTTTTCTCTTATACGTTTTCGTACTAATGGACGAAAGGCCAAGATTTTGGGGAGGCGGCCAGTCAGCTTCCCTCACGGCCGTTGCTTCCCCTCTTCCCCTCACTACTACGAGAGATAGGGTGCAGCGGGCCGTTGACGGGCTGTAAAAAACAAAATTAGTAAAAAAAGGCTCACAAATAATTTGTACGTTAGAACTCTTCGTATACAGGAAGTACTGCGTAACAAATGGCCTTTTGACCTAACACGCTCGTTTTTGCTTAATCTGTTAGCTTTAAGCGGCGTCTGAGTGATGTTCTCTTTCATCTTTTGCTTCTTGATGAAATAAACGTGTTCTGATACAAATGAACTGTCTCGAAGAGCTGTTGTTTGTCATTTTGTTCTCTCTGCTTCATTTGGTAAAGTATTATCTTTGCTTAACGTAGCTTAAGAAAGTGTTGCCAAAGTTTATGTTGACCATTGCCCGTGATGTTAGGAAGCATTAAAAAAA